GCACCATCAACTATCGATTTCATGAAAAGAAGGGTGTCAAATGGGCCCAATCATGATAGTTACAAAAGACCGATCTTCCAACGGTTACAAAAATGTAACAATACGACGTAAATCACAAAAAGCATAAAAGACAATAATAAGCTTTTCTCAATAATATGTATATCCGGTATCAGTAGTTAAAGTATAATACTTGACGGCGGCGGAATCAGAAAGCCATCATTCTCGGTAGCAATCTAAGACCATCGGGGGTACATTTTGTAATAATTTCTACATCTCATTTTGTTGGTATATGTTCCTCTTACTTCCGCTTGAAATTAGTCTCGTTTAATTAGATTCTATAAACAAAAAATCTTGAATCGTGACAGACTTGGGTAACTGATAGGGTCTGTCGATAATACGCTTGTGACAGCGCCTCCAACTTTTATATCAATGCGATCTCGAATAAAAGGGACAGAAATTTTTTCAGCAGATTGCCGGTGAGACAACGTTAATATGTGCCCTTAACATCTGGTCCGCTTCCAGATTAAGCGGTCATAGTTGAAACAGTTTGGGCACGCGATCACGATATCAGGTGAAGAACAATCATCAAAACTGGGCCTATTTGCAACGTCACATCACAGGCTGCTACCAAGACGCCTAACGCCAAGAGCTAAGGGCAAGTTCCTCAAATACACTGAATATTTGACAATCACGTAACAAAGAATGGAACCCACCGAGTTCGCCATCAATCGATGAAGGAGACCTTCGCAAAAATCAAAAGTTGGTGCCGTAACCCTAAAGAAACAGTAGGCCGTAAAATGGATAAATTGATAACTGTGCATCGATGCAATGTGAAATGCACAGCTATTTGCTCATTACACACAAAAAATCTGATCATCCTTTAACAGTATAGCAGTAATTATGAACAGTCAGTTTTACAACTATTCATCCTATCCGCCGTACACAGTTCATGAAGTGGTCACTTTTGACAGAAAACAAAACGAACGTCAAGCATATCTAATACAGATCAGTTTACAGTAACTACCATTGGTATACACCAATACTACTGCAATAAATGACTATATTGGTCATTAGATGTACATTACACGGCAATGTCACGCCGCCATTGCTTCTAGACGCCTAAGGAAACCATTTAGTAAATTTACGGCTCAAACCCGTTTGAGAGCCGTCATGATCAGGGAGAATCAGGTACGTCAACTAAACACAATCAAGTAGTAGCTCAAGCAAAATGCCTGTTCATAGCATTACTGATAATCGTGTTTAACTCGAAAGCATTTTCTTTTACATTTTGATTTTGGTTTACACCGGATTTTAAGGCAATGTTGCACCGCCCACCTGTGTCTAAACGCCGAATATTTTCTTACCCATTTTCCATATAATTAAAATATTTCGAAGGCCCATATTTTCAACTGTTTATTAAGTGCTTTTGAAATGCAACTGTTCAGCAGTACAGAGATGAATTCAGATTTGGTAAGCTAAATGATATCACTGATAGAATATGCATAGAGCCAGACAAGGTCCAGCATAAAGCCATACAAAAGCTGTTTCGTACTGAAGATTTCACGCCGTTGTTTCTTGTGGCAAGTACTCTGAAGGACCAACGTTCATACAGCCACTGTTATATGGTTGATCCTGGCAGTCGTCATCCAAAGTTTCGCGAAGGTGCTATAAGATTACGACCATATTTTGCGGGGAGCGTTGGTAAGATTACTAGCGAAATCGCATCTACGATCTCCTGAAACATGTCTCTTATGTAATTCCTGAGAGCCAAACAACCGGAAAATCTGACAGTACTCTGAAATGTAAACGTTATCCTGCATGGCTGTTAACGGCGTTAATTTAAATTACACAATAACAATATTTCGACTAGCCTAATGTCAGTCTTCAACAAATCAACCTGTTTCATTACTACCTAGGTGGACAAGATAGCCATCTCCAGTTACTCTTGGCGAACTAACTCAAAATGGCATTTTGAACGTTATCCTCTTAATTCTTCGAATTTAAAAGGCGTAACGCACTTCCTCTCGTTTCTAGTAACTTAGGAGACCGTTGATGCAGTCCACGGCATATTTTAGTACCTACAGTGCTTTGAAGCAAAAAACTGCACAAGCATATTCCAACACATGGAAAACTGATATATCTCATTTCGAAAGCATATAAACCATCGAAAGCATATTTCCCTTTCTGTTCTGTTTTACTGTTGTGGCAGTTTGCGATCTCTGAAGGGCAGAGGTTACTTCTACCGACTGCTGAAACAAAATTAACTGACTAACTAACTGACAGTCATCGAGATGAGGGACGCTGTAAACGCTGACCCCAACTTGCTTGTGAAGGACGAGTGAAAACTTTAAAGAATCGATTAAATAATCCAAATCGGCCATTGTCAAATATGGAACTTTATAATGGGACTAACATGGAACTCACAGGAATAATCAAAGGGCATTTCCGCTGTTTAGAACAAACAGAGAACATAACATTGATTGTTAATGAACATAAAAAGGCTTAAATCAAGTGACTATTCTCTCAACCGCGCCAACATTACCGATAAGCCTATGTACTGCCGGCCATCTCGTGGGCAAAACTTAGTGGTCAGCAGTAGCCTATATTAGACATAGACATAAATATACTGCTCATGTATATTTAGTGTATATAGCAGTAGTATATATAATGGAAACGATTAATATTACTGCAACGGGCTTACTATATATGAGTGTACTATACAGAGTATATGCGAGGCACAAGTACACTTTCTACTCTATTACAGATATAACACTGCATGAAAAGCACGTAGATATCCATATATTCTTATAACAACTTTGAAACGGTTTGCAACACCGTGCAGAGTAAAAAAATGTTTCATGAAACAAAGTTGTGCAAAAGTTTAGCCCGAACATGTCGAACAGCATTTTACTGTTCATTCTTCATCAACAGGGCTTATGTGAGTCCTCATCCACGCTCCATACGTTGGGCGATGTTTACTACAATTTCGAAATTTAAATAGTTTGTTATTGTTGCTTTTTCATCATCATTTAAGTTTAACACGCAGAGAGCAATATGCAGGTTTATTCAGTTCTGACATTAGGCAACGTCCACCGCAGCGGAAAATTTGGTATCTCATTTCTCCTCTACAACAGGCCTGCCTCAACAAGGTACTTCCATGTCTCGTATGGTTTTCCAATGCATGTATGGTCTATGAACGGTTCCCGAGCGAGAAACTTTTTGAGCATATTACTAGAATAGTTACATTACAGCTGTTAGATTTATTTCATACATGTATGTTATGTATCATACATTATATTTCTAGCAGTAGTACATCAAATACAGCTTACTAAGCATAGTACTGCTGCTAGACACTAGAGACGTGTATATCTAGCAGAGAATATGTGCATGGTAAATTAAAGTATAAGTACATAGCCATAATCATACTGGGAAGCCAATGCATCAGACATCATCAATCTGGTACTCTGTCCTTGACCCTGATACCCCATATGACGATGACAACAACACAAATACAATTTCAATTTGGTGGGTGGTGTCATTCCGGAAAGGGCCTTTCTAATACACCGACCTCCAAAAACAGCATTAAGCACGATTTAATAATACATAACACAAAAATAATACGGCCAATCTGGTTACTGACAAATATCAGATTTCCTTCTGGCTAAAAACCCATCAGCTGTTGCGGACAACAACGAAATTCACGAAACTCTATCACCCACCTATTTTGAAAAAGGTCCCTGAGACATGCACCGAAACATGGTATTGGTCAGCAATAGGATTAACCATATCTTATGAGCTGTGTAGAGTGAAACCGTGTTTCATACTGTTTTTCAGCATGACCACCAACGCAAGAGCAAAATATTCTACATCTAGTTTTAATATATACTCTGCCGTTGTAAGAGTTAAACTAGTTCAACTAATTTTACTATATATAGCACAGTTAAATAAACGTTACATATAAATGTAATATATACAGTAAATGACAGCATGAGATATAAAAATATACGTACCTGCTCATATACCACTCGCCTGTAGAAATTTATTACGCAGTATTGGATACGACATATACATGCAAATGATTCACTACTCAGCACTGCATATAAGTTGGAGTTGTACATACATATTGCCATAAAACTTTTATATATCAGATATAGATTACTACTGCCTTGTCGTCTTCATCTACGGCTAAAAAGTTTTGAACAGCTAGAAATTTGATGAAGCTTCAGCATGCATAAGATAGATATGGTGGTATGATTCCCAAAATGGATACCGGAAATAATCAAACGCGAAACAGCTTTCGTTAACAAAAATCATTTTTGCAGCTTATAAGTAATTATACATTCGACATTTATTGCGAGAGAAAGGTAAAGGCAATGGATTAGAAGATTATTAACGGATTGAACTAGAATTACGCATTCAAAAAAAACAATCAGAGCAATAAATACACTGCAGAACTCACGAGTAAGATTTTCAATGTATAGCGCTTCGAACTCCTTTTCTATTAGGCCAAAAAGTTCGTACAAGCGAGATCTAAATCATTAAATGTAGTACAAAACGTCTCCTTGAAATTTATCGTACCTTATGTTTGCGGAGAGAACAGCATCACTGCAATCGGAATTCTGTGCCATTGCAGCGTGAAACAAAACGTTACTACGTCACCTTGTACCGTTCAGGGCAAGACACGACGATACATCCTCCATCAATACGTTTTAACAGGTTATTTTCTTCATCGCTTGTTTTATGCAACATACGATCAAAAGTGCTAAAGATTTTCAAGTTAAACTATAATGTGCGCATTAATACTTAACAATACTTAAATTGTGTAATCAATCAGTTGTGCAACGTAGTTGAATTAAACAAACGGACTATCTCAGACGTAGCAAAAATTATATGCATAATTTTCGCGGACAGAATTATGTTATTACAGTTGGAAATTAGAAATATTATCAAAAATTTAACGAACCATTCATGCATATCTTGGAAGAATAATGAGCATCTTCGACAGATTCTCGCAAAGTGGGTGAAGAAACAGACGTCGATCCGAAGTTAGACTAGCTATCAAGAAATAGTATCCATATTCAAAAAACAGCTGTTGTAATAGCCACCAAGAACAAGTACTGAAAGTTTATTTATAAAACGCAAAGATCCTGGGAACTAGCCCAGAAGCAGTGCGGAATGAACCGAGCGAAGAATACGACCACGACCCATATAGCCTTCGGCTGCAAAATACTTGCGAATCGGAAATATGACGAAAATGTTATAATTGTAGCTTAGCGAACTAAGAAACCCAATAAGCGGAAATGTCACAGACTGAAGTAGAATGGTCTTTGCTGTGTAATGCTAGTCACCTAATGCGCATACTGAATTATCTGACGGGAATGTACCTCGGTGGGGGAAGGGAACATCGAATACCCTTAGTACATTTTTTTGCCAGAACTAACATTTATCGCCACCAGTTTCGCCATTTATTTCCTGGACTCTAAAAGTTCAAAAAAAATAGAAAAAGTCCATTTTGATACCAACATCTACAAGTTTGCTTTGTGAATTGTGTAAAGCCTTAAAGTAATTTCTCCCACAATGCCGCTTCAACAGGCGACAAGAGGCTCTATCAAATGTAATTATTTATTTTACGAACAACAGTGCTACATACGTCGTCAGATGCCCTGGTTCATTATTTCAGGCGAAAGCTGCAACTCCTTCCCATCGCCGAGCAACTTTAATGAAGATGTCCATAAAATTATCGCTGCCATATTTGAAAATGCAATATGACATCGTATTGTTGAACAGTCACCATGACACGATTCAACAGCACTTGCTGGATAGACACTGTCAAGGCTTCCGTTGCTGAGAGTCAGCTATTGCCAGCTCGAATACCTTTACGTTGCAACTAATCTTAGCTTCTTCGTTGTAATACCACGGGATTAAACTGCGACAATCGTTTTCAAAATTTGAAATTTGCTTAATCTGTCTGTCAATGATCGCATATCCATTAGAGTCACATAGGAAAAAGCGTCAGAATGATCTACAGCGTTCTTGATCCTGAAACACTGTTCAAGCGCGATGAAAGACGGCCTCATTATTAAGCAGAATTAGTTCAGACATTTGTCCAAAGTTATTCCTGATTGTCCCCGGTGTCGCGTTCCTTCCTTCAAAGGTTCGCAAGACGTATCTAAATTATCCGGTGAAAGCGGTTATGGAGCCAAACTCTCTCGGATATCGGAACATTGGAGAGTGTCGAAATGCGGCATTTCATCAATTCGTCTTATAAAGCTCGTTTCAGCTTATTGCACACGGAATCGAATTTTTTCAATCATATCACACGAGTTAAAGCGAGCATAGGGATGAAGATCGACTTAGATAGAACCAGTATCATCTTTAAATTCAGTTCTGTTCTGGTCGCAACGGTTCGGGTTAGTTCATGTAGGGTGTCGTTAAAAACGTACTTCGTTTCATTTCATTTCAGAAATCCCTGGGCAGTCCGAAATATACGCTAGAGTAATCATAAGTCTGTAGTAAACTTCATATCAACTAATTTTCTGCACAGTTTGTTTTGCGGCATGGACCTAAGATAGTTGATATTCGAAGAATATTCCAACGGCAACTGAATAATCTCTACCAGTGCTGGCTGCAACACATGATGAAGATCAGTCGGCACGATCAAATAAGGAAAAACGGCCCTGCGGCCATCCCTGACTTCACGGAAATATTGAATATGTTCAGAAACAGACGTGAGCAGACTCATGTTATTTTGAAGAAATGTCCATGTCTGGCGATTTGGTTAGCTGATGGAAGAAAAGATCACTTGTTAACGAAAACTAAATAAGGATGTGTTACCGATGATGAATCTAAGTTTCTCGATGCAAAGAGTAAGTCAAGAAATGAAAATATGAGTACTGAAATGAGCGGCCACCATGAATCTTAAGCAACTTGATCAAAAGGGAGAAAATAATTTACAGCAGTATTTTCAAATTTTAAATATTATTTTGTTTGTAACTTGAGGATCGTTGAACAGCAAGATATGTTTTCAGACCCGATAGTACGCCGCCCTTCGTGGGGGCATTGTATCAATTCAGAAGTAAGTGACAGGTTAATCTGCGTTGCTTGTGTTTTTTAGCTTCATTTTCGGTCAGCGTCTGATTAAAGTTTACTGAAGCATCAGGAAACCGTTATATGAAGTGTCGATTAATTAAGGTGTCTTATACCTTGAATGGCGGATGTAGATCATCCTCTTACTTAAGTTTGTATTGTCATGAGTAATATTGTTCAGTAACGTGGCTGTTGTCTTGTTTTCAGAGGACGTTGTATCCGACGCTGATCCTTCGATCCATAAACTGTTTCAAAGATTTAGGAGAATTCCACTTATTGTTGAGTATCATCGGGAAAGAGCTAGGCTAAAACAGAGACGGTAGGAGCTTCGCAGTGATTAAATAAATAGATAGCTGAGCGAAAGCATGTTTTATAACAGTTGCAGCAAAAGTGAAAATGGCGGTACTGCGAGGGAAAAGTTTGTACATATCACTGGTACATCATGGACATGTGCGGATCTGTAGTAAGTTGAGTAGTTGAATAAGGAATAGTAACTAAAAAGCTTTTATGGATAATTTTAAATGTGACGAAAAATTTTGGTTATGTGATATGATATAATTCGTATAATGTAATATTCATATTTTGCTTTGTTGATATTACTCCATGAAAAACGTAGACAACAATACTTAACTTATGCTGACTATCGTTGTGAATAGTCATCTGCCAGGTGGATCAAAGGGAATAACAGTCCTAAGGAATTTGCATCAGACAGCATTTTCACCAATTTCTCTATGACCATAATAGAATGCTGTCCTTACTTCTTGCCAGTCGGCGACTGGCTACCTGTTTCTCGGCTAATTGTACCGAAACATGGTGGTATGAATTGCTTGTTCAAGAAAACTAGCAGCTATGAAAAGAAATTTATATTTCATTTCATGTGATTCGAATCCGGTACCTCAAACGTCCAAAGTCACCTCTTACCACTGCGCCACCAGCCAAAATATAATTAAGAATATATGACCCGGAAGAGTAGAACAGTTTGCTGGCATTGCCCTAACTCGCGATGATGAAGGCAATGATTGTTTGGTAAATTAAATTTATATTTACGCATTGTATTGGATTTATTCAGCTATCAGGTGAGTTAAGGCGAATCGCAGCCGGAAGGCATATGCATCAGGCAGTATGATCGATTGTCACATTCATCTGTGTACTTGGGTTTTGACGCTGATGTTTCAGATGACTACTGCAACAACTACAACATGGCCGAATGTCTCGACATGACCACAGCAAAATACAATGTTGTTAATATCATTCATATGACACCGACCTGCTTCCCGTTTTTCGGCTGCTTGCACCTTTGTTGAGTTCGCAGTTATGAGAAAAAATTTTCGAAGAGTGCAGAAAAAACTAGTAACCCATTGCGCATCTTCTCCCTCTTATTCTTGTGTTCCTCAAGTGTTTTTGTTGATTTTTTTGTGTTAAGAGAAAACCATATGATAATAATATGAGATACTTTGCGAAAGCGAATAAACCTCACTTAATTTCCATGATATACCAGGTTTACTTAAGTAATTTAGTTTTCGATACCGTTGGTCAGAATGACATTTGTATCATTTCTTCGATTTACACGGCGTTTGCCTCGCAGTCTTTCGCTTGCCCAACTCCAGGGGCCCTACGGAGCAGTCTACGGTTCTGTAATAGTCTTGCAAGTGTATTGCATGGATGAGGCCAGAATATCATGGATGTACTTGTGATAATACTTCATAATTACACCTTCCGCTGGAAGCTCATGGGTCATCTGAACAGTTGCCCGTTCCTTGCTATTGTTGACCTTATTGCACATAGATGTGGTTTTCATCCCTGTTTGCAAAAAGTTCTGTTATCCCATAAAGCCATGTCGTGCTTAAACAACTTGTCCAATTCTACAGGCAAGTGGACAGTAGGGTAATGTCGTATATATTCGGCGATGCGACGGGTATAAGATGCTTGTATTAAATAGTAATTCATTAAACTGTATGAAACAAATGTTGTCAGTGCAAATTACCGTGTTATCATTTTACTGAGTAACTCACTGGGTTCAGTATGCAAATCATTTTACACCTCCTATAGGTAACTGTTAACTCCCGCCAATCACGGAATTGAATTCAAAAGGCAGGACAGTGAAAAGTTTGTAGGTTAACGCATAAAAAAGCAAGAAAGTTGGTAACCGTTGAAAGGCTGGTCTTCCTTGCTTCTGTTTAATGGTTTAACACTGATATTCATGTCCATACTATAAGCCTGGAGAACCTTATTTTAAAGTTAGAGTCATCAGCAGCTGTGTCAAGCATAGTTGTAGCCACCTGTTTCCTTTCCACACAGTCATACTCATTTATCGACCTCGGGAGAAAGAAAAGCGAATGGCGAACCGGGTTAGAGCCCGGGATATCACGGTTCTAAGTCCGACGCTCTACCGATTAACCAACTCCGGTCGAGGAACGAAAGATCCACAGGGATCGTTTTTCAACTCATTGCTCATGTACATTCACCTCGTGTTTCTGATGCTGTGCATGAGTATCCGGGGGGAGGTGGCAGTAGGTTGACTCCCCTATCTCAGTTTTTCAATTTGCACAAACATGATTAGCGATTCACGAATTAGTTTTCACTCACTTAGACCAAAACTTTGCTATTTAATATTTTGTTACTTGAAGGAAGTCCTACATGCGCTCATTGCTGTGCTGGCAATCAACAGTATTGAAAGGTTATTAATAAAGCTTGTCAATCTTTGGGTCTTCGATATTTTTACGCCGAAACAATGCATACGATATTCCTTTTCTCATTAGTATTCATACCAAAATTTCCACTCATTAGTGTTTACATCGAGTATTATGTTTACTAATTAGTATTCCATCACTATTAGTATTTACATGGAATGATTACTAATATTCTATTTCTAATCCAGTACTCGTATGAAGAATTTGACTTGACCGATCGTCTGTGATTACTGTAGATTAGGCAGGAAAAATCACTCCCATGTATGTTACGGTTCCGCGTTC